AGTGTCCCAACACAGAAAGATATCAATGTAAAGGTCTACAAATAAAACACACAGCAAATGCCCATGTTTCTCAAGCAAGTCATGACACAAAACTTTCATAACGGTGATAACCACCTTATAAGCGATTAGACTGAACCTCAGAACAAGTGGCAGAGTGTTTTGTTTGTAACCAGACATATTTTCGATTTCAACACAGAGTGCTATCAATTAGGAGATAAACATCATGTGTTGGCCAATTTCCGGGTGTTACTGAGTATTTGAAGCACGGGAATTCATTTGGAACAGACGGCGTCAGCCGGAGGTTTCAAATGAAATATTCCCGTGCTTCAAATACTCAATAACACCCGGAAATTGGCCAACACATGATGTTTATCGACATTGTAAACACAAAAGTAAACCAAAAGGTCCACACAGAGTGCTATCAATTAGGGAGATAAACATCATGTGTTGGCCAATTTCCGGGTGTTACTGAGTATTTGAAGCACGGGAATTCATTTGGAACAGACGGCGTCAGCCGGAGGTTTCAAATGAAATATTCCCGTGCTTCAAATACTCAATAACACCCGGAAATTGGCCAACACATGATGTTTATCGACATTGTAAACACAAAAGTAAACCAAAAGGTCCACACACGTTTTTGTGTCTGCACTCATTGACATCGAATATGGGTACAGCAGTGAAATGTCATCAGCCGGCCGTTTCGGCTGTTTCCCATGGTAACATCTGGAACTGCTGATTTGTGACGTCATTCGGACTTTACGTCACAATATGATTTTAATGACGTCATCACAGCTGACGACGTAACAATACAATGGTGTGAGCGATATTTGCATGTATTAATACGCAGCGAATTTCCGGGAATCGAATACCATTTAATCACGTTTTTCAACCAATCAGATTAAAGAACACAGTGACTTTTGGTTTACAATTGACCATGACCGAGTAGCCACCATGGCCTATAATTGCTTGACATTAAAACTTACTTACTTCATACGTTACCTACTTTCTGAAAGTGTGCTGTTCCAACAAAATTAAAATCCTTACATGTAACATGCCCTATAGTAAATAATTGGTGATGACTGACATTTATAGTACCCATGACGATCCAGCTTAGAATTGGTCTTCAGCAACCCATGCTTGTCGTACTAGACGACTAACTGGATCGAGTGGTCAGGCTCGCTGACTAGGTGTCACATGACATATGTCATCATATCCCAATTGCCTAGATCAATGCCAATGTCATTGATCTCTGGATTGTCTGGCCCAGACTCGATTATTTACAGAACACCGCCATATAGCTGGGATATGTGCGGTGTTTACCAACCAACCAACCAAACAAGTAACATGTATAGTGAGTTCTCCCAGTGCCTTCTGCAAAGAAGTTACAAAACCTTGACTGTCATATATTTTAACAATATTTCTGATTACTATATTTACTACAGGTAACATAATATGCAAAAGTAAATGTTTATGTGCATCCAGGTATGTGCAACAGGATAAAAAACAAATATTTTAATCAATATGTCGTAAGTTTGCCACATAAGGGAATCCAAACCACGTATTAGTGCCTGTTTGTTTTTGTATATATTTGGGTAAGCATTTTCGCTGTTAGAAATGAGTCAGAGATCTTACAAATCATGTCATGATCAGCATAACAGTAAGTTATAAAATCATTGTCGTATTTTCTAAAAGACCCGTGATCAGATGTCACCTCTTCTTTTTGATAATTGACACCACGCTGTAATACTGTTGTTATCTATATCTTTATTGTTATTATCGCTGCTATTGTCTATTAAGCTGCCATTGTAAATGTACTGCCAACGATTTTTGTACTCCTAATTTGAAATGGCATTGGAATTACTATGCTTAAATTTGTATTGATTTGAAAATGTATTACCTTTTTCAAACACAATTGTTGTAAAATGCATAAGACGTCAATGATGTTTGTTGGTTTAACGTAAATTAGTTTGTGCATGGATTGCTGGGTTGAATCATTATTTGGCCATTAACATGTAACTATTTGTACTGGTGTGCACAATCATCTTACATACATTAATGACCTACAACTTTCAATTGTCAGTATGATACACTAGCGATCTGGCATAATCCTTACATCCCTTTACCTGACCAACATTAAAAGTGAGTAAGTGAGTGAGTGAGAGGATTTGAGTTGAGCGCAATGAGCAGAGCATGGAATGCGGAGGATGGAGTAGAGAGGAGTATGGAGTGGAGCCGAGAGGAGCATGGACCGTGTAGGGGAGTGAGCAGAGTGAGTGAAACTTTAGAGTCATATCAAAGGCATGCCATATATACCTGAATTGAGGTCTTTCATGTGATTCACAATAAAAGGATGTCTGGAGTGAAAGACAGTTGGCCACCAACAATACACATCCTCCTACATCAGCGGGTCTTGGGCTGCATTTACTAACTGGTAGAGGATCATGCATCCATATGTGTCTCTTCATGTCTATATTGAGAGACCCGTGAAGGTCCGGGTTAGAATATTGATCTTCAGTAACCCATGCTTGTCGTAAGAGGCGACTAACTGGATCGGGTGATCAGGCTCGCCGACATGGTTGACACATGTCATCGGTTCCCAATTGCGCAGATCGATGCTCATACTGTTGATCACTGGATTGTATGGTCCAGACTCGATTATATACAGACTGCCGACAATTTAACTTTACCTTGCCAATTGAACATTAAAATCTCAGAAAACTATTCAACTTCGGATAAAAGTTGTTTAACCATCAATCATAGTTTCAATCGCTATTATTGGTTTGTATTACATTGGGGTATGCACATTAAATGAAACCCCGAAAACAAGAAGGGTGAGTTTCTGCGGTAGTCTAAGTTAACGCTCATCACGCACCGCACGTGTATTTGAATCACTGTTCCAATTACAGCGCGTACGCCCTTGTATGTCAATACACGTCTTTCTGTTTGCTCGAACTGGTCGGAAATTCTACTCTTTGTTCATACTGGATTATGAGTCCATTATAAACATACACATATTCACGCATGAATAAGTGTAACTGAAAACACACCATGGTCTGATGCAAACAGGATTTCAATCATTAACAAGCTGCCTTGGAAACATGTTGGCTTTCCAGTCAGGTAAATGTATTTGTGTTTGCTAAGGAGGTATGTGAGTTCACAGCTTTTGAAATGTAGCATGTTTACACAGTTTAACATGTTCATTACTGCAGACGAAAGCATCACTACTATATTTACATGTTCATTGTATGTTGCGAGCACTCAAGAACTAACCCATAATCATTGTCACATATTTCACATGAGAACAGACTTAACTGTGGCTGCGTTTACAACTGTGGAGACTTGTGTGAGATCGATATGCCAGCACTTTCGTTGGCAAATATTTGACAGCATCAACTCAAATGACAAATACTGGTTTTCCTTTTACTTATTGTACATGCACGCAAACGCACATATTTACACACAAAACACACACATATATTCATACGCACACACACCATACATCACACACATACACACACGATGGAGTGAGTGAGTTTTAGTTTTAGTATTTACGCCGTATTTAGCAATATTTAAATAAATACATTAAATCAATAAATACTTGTACGCATGTGTACACATACACGCCATACACACACTTTAAATAAATAAATTAAATCAATAAATGCGTTACGTGCGTGCGTGCGCGCGTGTGGCGAGTGTGCGTGAGTTTACGTGATTATGACTAAGCAACATTCCAGCTATATGGCGGCGGTCTGTAAATAATCGAGTCTTAACCAGGCAATCCACTGATAAATAGTAGGAGTATCGATCTATGCAATTGGGATACGATACATGTGTCAACCAAGTCAGCGAGCCTGATCCCCCGATCCCGTTAGCCGCATCTTACGACAAGCATGGGTTACTGAAGATCAATTCTAACCCGGATCTTAACGGACGTCAAAGTGCCATCATCAGGTACATGTTGGGGTGTGTCCATGGACGTCAAAGTGCCAGCATCAGGTACATGTTGGGGTGTGTCCATGGACGTCAAAGTGTCATCATCAGATTTATTACCCACGTGGTCAACGTATTGGTAGTTGCATACTAATCTCGTACGTCACACGTGTGTCGTATCGCGTTGACCTGTGTCGTAACGACTTGACCTGAGATTCTAACGATTTGATTGGATAACCGATGACCTCTCAATTAGGTCACATTCTGACGTAACTATTTTTCATTCATAACAAACACGTGAATTCATTCATTCTACAACTTAAATGCATTGTGGGAATGTAAACATCGCGAACGTTGCCGTGTCGCTGTTTAATTGTGAGTCGAACTGAGACATTATATCCGTCGAAAACATAAACGCAATGTTTCCACCAGTGATGTTAGCCGAATGAAGCAACTGCAAACCAAGAAACGGGGTGCTACGAAGTAGTTTACTGTAGGAGGCTGTACGAGGCGATGACAACTGACATGCATCGTGACGTCGGTTACCAAGGCAGTGACGTCATTACAGTGTGACGTCATGCAAATATTGTACTACAGTACAAAACTCTTCCGCAACCTCTTTATGAAACCGGTTTCGGTTTGAAACCAAAATATTAACAAAAATACGCAATTTTGTCAATTTAATGCATGTAAGACGTGGGTAATAAATAATGAATATTCGATTCGGTCTCATTACATACGAATTATACGAAACTGTGACCTTCCTATGTTATTCTGACCTCGCTTTCGCTCGGTCAGATACCATAGGAAGGACACTCGTTCTCATAATTCGTATGTAATGAGACCTCGTATAGTATTCTATATATGTTGAGGTGTGTCGATGGACGTCAGAGCCATCATCAGATATGTTGGTTTGGCTTGTTGTTTTACGCCGCACGGTCTGTAAATAATCGAGTCTGGACAATTTTCAAACAACAATCGGAATGCATTTCCTCGCGTCTGTTTCCTCAATAGTCTTACATTTCTGCCAGAAAAATACTTCAATGCGCTGGACAGGAACCCAAAAGTGTCAGAGTATAGCAGCCTGCACTACACAGCAGGCCAGCAGCCCCGGTAACAACATCAACCAGTTGAAACATATGCGTACACTTACTTACACTGCCATATGATCAACCATTTACTTTTTTCAAATTCAGTTTGAAAATTGTACAACATTGGCTGAATATCCAGGTCCATGTGTCCGTGAGGATCTCACCACTACAAGCGAACCGTCATCGACACCATAAACCAACACCCTTCACACACCAGGTCTATGGCTGAATATCCTGACTGTTTGGGTAGAGGACCATGTCTCCAATAGGAACACATCCCGCACACCAGCCTCCACACACCAGATCAATGATGGCGCCATCCTGTGTCCGGGTAATACTGTGCACTTTAGACGAGCTTCCTGTTCCAGTCCACATGAGCTGTGTTTAAAAAGACGTACGAAAATGCATTTAAATGACAAGCGTAAACTGTGCTTTAATCAAGTAAGCAAGGTGATTACATGGTCATAATAGTATGATATGAATAAAAGAATGATTGAATTGCCGATGGAACTGTTCTTTATTCAAATATGCATATAATATTGAAACCGCATAATTATCAAACAATCCGTAAGAGTGTGATAAAATATATAGTCCAACTGTTTGGTGCAGAATCAAGATGGTTTGATGACCCCTCCCCATCTCTCTTGTTTCTCTCTCTCACACAGGCAAACACACACATACACAAACACATACACACACACACACACACACACAAACACAGACACAAATATAATCTGTTATTGTATAATAACTACTAACACAAAGTATCACCTACGTCAGTGGCGAACTTCATTCCTGTGCCAAGGGTATCAATGTGAAAGGTTCCTATTCGTTTGCATGCTCCCTTATATGAGTAACAATCCTCTGCTTTACCGTACTTATGTGGCTTCGTCTTGTTCCCGCTGGTGAAGGTAGTGTCAGTTCTCAAAACACTCATGGTCTAAAGCACAGAAATATTTACACATTAAAATTTAGGTCTTATAAAACACAAACATAAGATTTTACTATTCAAAATATATAAATCTGATGACATAAACTACATATTACAACTGTTTGCATTTCAGCTTTCCCATTGGAAATGGGTAAATTCAAACCTCTCGCTATCTGACGCGCTTAGGAGCCAAAAACTGATTCATACGTGTTCCCTTAGGATAATATACTTGCTGAATAGTTAATTAAGTTGGAGATTTTTACAATTCATCCACGAATTTATGCTGGACAGACTGTTGTTAGTTAGGCCTTTTTTCCATCAGCTCTCGCAGTTGTATAATGAAATTACAAATAATTAGAAATATTGTATAAGTTAGTAAGCTTACTAAAAATATGAGTTACAAGAGGTCGAAATTCAATATCCCACCCTATTTGATTCTGGTGAAACGGGTATACGCTTGACATGACTAGACACACAATCACAGCAGACTATAGATTTCTGATATGCTCACCGGCTGCCGCTCGTGTTCCAGGTTGACATAATATTTGCACTTAGATTGTGACAAAGAATTCATTTTTTTTGCTATTTGTGATAGGGAAAGTGAGTTCTTCCTGCCCTTTCATGACATACTCACAACACAGAAATTGAACTTAAAATATGCACTTACCGATGGAATAATTCTGATCTTTTGATACACAGTTACTCCATCCTTGCCAACACCAGCAGCTCTTAAATATGGCTCTTCACTTCCACAGTCATTATTTGACCTTTTAGGAAAGTTTCCAATGTTTTCATTTGGCAGTGTGACATACTCCAGCTGGTGTGTGTCATTCATCAGACAGAACACTTTCACTGAGATTCCGCTGAACTGAGGAGCTTGAGGCATGATGGTATACTCTCCACTTTGAGCAGCTGGGTTGTCCTTCCTGATCTCAGAACACGTGGTAGGATCTGTAAATGAAGTAATACTAAAGGAAACCAACCATGCAGTTGAGGTAAATATAGTGGATACGGTCATGTGTGCTCTAAAACAATTCTTTGAAGATAGGTTTTTGCTATTACTACATCATTCTCCCTTTATGCTGGCTTTATAATGACATTGCTTTAAATGTTGTACCGTCATTCTCTAAAGTATCATGATTTCAGTAACAAGCATATTAGGATCCAAGGCGAGGAGTATACAATGGTTTTGCTCAAAGAAATCGTTTGTACCTTGTTTGTAGGTGTCAAACAAACTATTGCCTGGGTTGATGACACTGCCAGATACTGGATCTGTGTGTCGTGTGATGCATAAGCGGCTTGCGTCTGAATACTGGAACTCTGGGCATGACACGTATGAACACAGAATGGCGCAGGTCGTTAGTCCAAATACATTCTGGGCCTGAAGATTTTGAGCGTCGTCTAAAATGGCTGGAGCTCCACTGCGTATCCTCTTAAAATGAGCGTCTTTCAACCCACATGTTATTGGAATGCAGATACCCAAGAAAAAGACCCTGAAGTAGGTTATATCCATCTGCATTTAGAAAAACGTTCCAGTCAAGATATTCACGGAAACGAAAGGGTCCTTTTCTGTACAGTTCTGTAAAACAGATCTCATCGCCACAGAGCAAGTCACTGTTAAGAAGGCAAATATGATTTACACTGACACTGCATAATCAAATGACATGAAAATTCGTTTAGATACAACCGGTGATTCGACGAAGCTCGCTTTGTTATAGCATTGATTGAGTGCTGCTTGGCAATGCATTGCTGTCTGCATTGCTCTTTACACCAACTGTTTTTATTGATTTCAGAAGTCCCCCTCATAACATCCGGATGATTCTTGTACAATTTGGCCTACGTCGAAGTTTAGACACATGACAAATTGTAGTCTGCCTTATATAACTGTGCAGAAAGTGAATTGACCGCAATATGATGTCACATTAGACAGATTCACTGCGGACAGCCAAATACTTATGCCTGTGAAATAGTGTCTGTCCATGGCTTTGTGGAGTACAATCGAGAAAGGAGACTGGAGACCAAATTCTGTGATGCTGGTAACATTGACAGGCTGGGCACTGCATACGAATTAAAGTGAGTGAGTGAGTTAATATTTAACGTCACATCGGCAATATTTCAGCCATATTGTGACGACAAAAGTTATGTATTAAGAATAAACATATGTATACTTGTTTAAAAACCTGCCAGCGAAGGACAGTATAACGACAAGAATATCACAAATTGATTAAAACTAGTTTCAGTTCAGTATAAAATGTTAAATTATTTCAAAACAACACATAATAAAATCGGGCCATAGATCGCCAACAACTGAAGGTTGATCACCATACTAGAGACCATGGGGACTTACAGTACATTTGCTTCCTGCATGGGCCCTAGCTGGATTGACACCATCCCCTCAGCCGCTGGCGATGGAAGGGAAATTTAGCCATAATTCAAAATAAATATTCTACGTTTAAAAAGCATGGTGGAGCTAAATTGACCTTGGACGTTTTGGGACTTACGTATCCTCTCAGGAGGTCAATTAATTTACGATACTTTAAACCCCTTCAAGGATACAGCCACTAACAATCGCAGTTGCTACTTCATACTACCATGTTTAAAAATTCAGTTATTAAATCATAATTAACATTATAAAAAGATCCTTAATTGTTTTGACATTAAAATATTTGTCCCATGTGATGGAAAAATCAATGCAGTCAAGCAGACTGTGTTTGACTGTGATTCTCTCATCACAAGGGATACAAAACGGAGGATCTTCACCTTTGAGCAAATATTCTTGAGTGTATTTAGTATGGACAATGCGATATCGTCTCATGATGACCTCTTCAAATCTGAACTGACAACCCAAGCAGGTGTAACCAATATAGGGTTTTATAGCATGTAATGTATTAATACCTGCTTGGGTGTCCCCTTCTTCTGCAACAGATCACGGATGTACGATCTAATGGTAGCTTTAATTTGTAATCAGTGTATGGAATAAGAAGCGGTGTCACAGATTTGTTCAGTGCTGCCTTAGCAGCAAAATCGGCCATCCTGTATCCAGAAATGCCAACGTGGCTGGGTAACCAACAGAGGACGATTTCGCGCTGGCAAGTAGCAAGCTCATTATATAATTGAATTATATTGATAATTGCAAGAGAGATTTTTTATAGCCTGAAGGCAAGAAAGAGAGTCTGAAAATATGATATATTGTTTATATTTAGGATGTGTTTTAATATATTTAAGCGCTGTTAATATGGCATTTGCTTCGGCTGTGAAAATAGCACTATCGTCTGGTAATCTAGAAGAGATTGTTCTGGACCCAGTGACAGTGGCACAAGCCACTGCGCCACCATCCGTGTACCCATCAGTAAAGAAAGATTGTATGTATAATATTTACAACGCCGTATAAAATTATCCTTACAATATATCACAAAATTATATTCTAACGAGTCAAACCCTGTTTTTAATCCTCTTAATGAGGATATTACTACAAGAAGTCTGCTCTTATCCCACCACTAGGAATAAGAATTAACCTTTCATTTCTGCTGCTGGCATTGAGCTGGAAAATATAGGTCCTTCTCGTCTTCTTTCTTCTCCTCCTTAGCAACTGGTGAAGCCACAAGTTGACCTAACACTGACAACGTTTAAAAAATCAGAAACAAATCAATTACAATGTAAACGAGAAAATAATCAATTACAATGTAAATATTATACATACAATCTTTCTTTACAGATGGGTCCAAGTGTCTACTGATATCAATTATATCAACACGAGTTGATAAACTTACAAATATCCGAGGCTTGCCGAGGATATTTTTACCTTTATCAACGAGTATTGATATAATTGATATCAGTAGACACGAGAGTGAGATTCTATTTATCATCAAAAATCATTCTTTGTGTAGTTTCCAATGAAAAATGCACATCTCTCCACATTGTACTTCCATTAGACTTGCAGTTCAGCGATGTCATAGCATTGTGACGTCACCAAGTTCATGACGTCATAGCATTGTCTGGGCATTGTACAAAATCTACTGTCAAAACGAAATCTCCTTGGAGATATCATATGATCTCAAACAAGCGATATCTCCTTTGGAACACAGTTTTGGATGATAAATAATAGTACTTCAAGACAAGTATCAGGTAAATGTTTAAAAGTTGATAATGAATATTTTCACCCCCTGTTGCTGTATCGTGTGATTGCCCTAAAGCTGTGTGCAATTCATGTAAGGAGAAAAGTTCATTGTAGTCTTCAACCTTATCAGAATTAATATTAAGTTTCTTTCTTTCTTCTTGGTCCTTCAATTTCTGAAATTTTGGTCGATTAGGAGGAATGCTTGACTAACGATTCCCCAAGTTTTTTTGCGATATCTGCTGTATCTGTTAGTAATGTTTTACCCTCCTTTAGATGTTGAACACGATATTCGGAACCTTTTCCTTTAATGTTTGGGGTGATCATATTCCAAACTTTAGACATTGTCGTTCTGGAATTGATTTTAGATACATACTTGTGCCAAGATTATTGGCGTTTAGATTGCTTGAAGGTGCGTCGGGCTTTAGCATTTGATATCTTAAATTTGTTTAAGTTGTGGACCGTGGGGTGATTGAGAAAATATTTTTCTGCCTTCCTCCTAGCTTTACCATCTTTTTTACAGTCGTCAGTATACCATGGTTTTCGTATATGTAGATTTGTAGATCAAACCAAACTTTGCTTTGAAGATCAACAGGATTATCAGTGTTTTGCAGATCACGCATCTTTACCAAATCCCCCCCTCCAAAATAGCATGGTTGGCATTGTCGAGACCTAACTGCTTTATGTTTCTAAGCACTGCACTAAAACAGTATCGTCAGAGTGAAACTCTCTGTCTTGAAGAACGTTCACGTTCAAGTAAAACGGTGGCTGACGAAGATGTCAGTGAATAGATGTTCGGATTTTGACATATCAGGACTTCAAGTAAAAGTTGCCTTCGCTGTTCCGGACCTCTGCTTAGAATTGCTTTAGAACTTTATTCAACTCATCGACAGGAAGAGTCTCGAAATCCGGCGATTGTCGATGAAATTCCAGCCACTCTAAATTGAATGAAAGGAAAACAAAAATGACTTTAGACTCAACCATGACGTTAGTGGTCTAAAACGTTTGGAAGTCCTTACCGTTCATTATAGATGTTTTATATTTTTTAAGTCGCTTATCATGTTTATTAGTTCTTACGTTTTATGATTCTACAAAGTAGTTTTACTTCCGGAATGATCTCCAGTTCAGTGTCGCTTACGGTCTTGAAGTGCTTTAAAAGCGGGCTCATGTCTTCCTTCATCTGGGAAAATAATGTTAATGTATTTTAAGTTCATTGTTGTTTATGATGATACATTTCATTATGATTTTTTAATCATATTGTTTTGTACTTTGTTTTGGTATAGCAACGGTATACAGTACAGTTACGACTGTTTTGTAGGTAGAATCTAACGTTGATTTAGTGACACTGAATGTATGCTAATAGATGTATCTTTCTTCTCTTGTTTAAGAATTTCATTTATGTCAGTTGATTCCAGTAGGTCGACATCAAAACCATTCCGATTTTAGATCAAATTCTGTTCCAAATATCTCGTAGAGGTTACCCAGATGAAAATCGCCGATGTCTGATTCAGACGAATATGTTTGTATGCAAACAATAGGGTCAGCGAGTGCTACGTATTCATACGCAGGTAAAGCGGTCTACGTGTAATTAGCGGCCCTTTGATTCAGGTTTAAGGACGGTCACGTGCAACAATCAACCAATCAGAATCGAGTATCCCACAATGAAGAGTGACGAGTAGAAGATGGTGGGACATAAAGTAAGCATAATGTGAAAACAATGTTTAGAGTCAATCTGACAGCAAAAGGGCTATGTATAATACCTTGTCTCACCA